AACCAGATCTAAATGTTCGGCTCGTTACAGACTTTCTGCTACTTTAACCAGATCTAAAGTAAGTTAACATTAGACTTTTAGCTACTGTTTTAGAAATTATAGCATTTGGCTGCTGTTTTGTTAATTGTAGCCTTTGGCATGTGTATTGCCACATTTGGATTTTAGCTACATTTCTCCTTTCATTTCAATATAGCATATTTAGGCTTTAAGTTATTGTTTTGCTCAAGCTTTTAACTATGATTTTAAAGTCTTGCACTTTTAGCTGCTGATTGTGGGCTCTTTTTAACGTTTTGCTAAATCATGTTATTGTTAATAACAACACTTTACATTTAGCTACTGTTTTAAAACTAAATATTTCAGCTACTGTTTGCTAAATTGTAGCTTTTAGCATCTGTTTAGCAGATTTTTTTATTTTTAGCTGCTGTTTTTCTAATTTCTGTTTTAGTTTGAGCTTCATGTTGGATTTAAAGCTTTGCATAAACAGCCGAAGGTGTCTGAGACACAGAGCCGAGGGACACAGAGCTAAAGGACAGAGAGCAGAGACCCTGCTGGATTGGACGGCTGCTCTCTGAGGCGAAACATCAAACCACGAGCCACAGATGGACACAATTAGCAACATGGTAAAGATTTGAGCAGCTAAAGGTCCATAAAGGACGACAAGCTTTTAGCTCGTCTCCAAAAGTCTCTCGGTCCAGACTTTAATTTCAAAGAGGACCTAACTCCTTTTAAAATCTTCCCAAAACCCTTAATGCCAGCTCTCTGTGTGTGAAAGAAAATGACACAATTAGTCCAGGGGGCGGAGCCAAACGTCAATCATTAGGACACCTTTAGCTTCCTGTTTATGTAAATATTTTTCTTGTTCTGAGGACAGAAGACAGCCGAGGAGTCAAAGATGGACACTAAAACGAGTGCCGAGTCAGCATTTCACAGTGAGGTAAATCTCTCCGTCTGCACTTTTATTTACGACACGGTAAATCTTCATAATAAAAAGTCTCAGTCTGATGACATCACCTGCCTTTCATCTCGGGTTCATCTTTTCTCCGCGCTGCCAAAAGAACCGACAGTTTGATTTCTCCTCCCTGAGAAACATTTCATTTATTATTTATATATTTTTTTCTTTTTGGATCTGCTCTGAGGCATCTGCAGATGACGAAGCTTTGAACTTTGGATTTATTGCTTCGTAGATTCTTGATAAAAAATAAAATAAAAAGGCCAAACCTCCAGCTGTGCCGGTCAAAAACTCGATCTGGTTCGATGGTGAGAGGGAAGCTTTCAGGACGTCTGGGTTGAAATTTGTTGAAAAAATTATTTTAAACTCAAAAAAGGAAAAAAGTTTTTAAATAAAGGTCGTCATAAAACAACTTGATTCTAGTTTTGAATATTCTCTTTAAAGCAGGAAGATAAAAGCCTTTTTAATTTCTTATGTCTCCAACAAAACACTTCTCATATCCTCTTTTCCTCTTCCCTTGTCTCCTTATCTCTCATCTATCCCTCATATTTCTTTCCTGTCTCCTCCTCTCCTACTCTCTCCTGTCCTTTCATCTGACCTCCTCTGTCCTTTCCTTTCCTTCTCTCTTCTCTCCTTTCCTCGGGCCTTCTCCCCTG